GTTTTTACTTCAATTTCTTAAGTCTTTAACTTGTTTTTATTTCAATCTTTAACTTATTTTTACTTTAACTTGTTTTTACTTCAATTTCTTAAGTCTTTAGCTTGTTTTTACTTCAATTTATACTCCAATTAACCATTATCTATTAATTTCAGATCAGACAAATATCAAATAAATATGGTATTGAACAAGCTCATAAACGTAGTTTGGGTTTTAAGGCCGATTTCTTTTCTGTTTTAGCTGATGCACTTACAACTGAATGTGTTTTTCTGGATGGTGCTGCTCATCAGGTAAATTAAATATTCAAAAATGTAAAATTAATATTCATAGAAAATGCCAATTCAAAATAAAAATTTTCCATATGAAAATTTTGAATGTTTCCGGAATAGCTTACAATTAACTAATTTTATCCTTACTTTAATTTCCAATCACAATTTGGTTAATTTAGCCAATTAATAGTTATCATATCAATTCAATGACAAATGAAAAAATAATTTTTAAATTTTGAAAAGGATGCTTATTATAACTATGTAACTGTAATCATCAATTTGTTTTTTAGCCCACGGAAACAATTGAAGCTTGGGCAACATTAGTTGAATTAATGTTTACAAACGTACGTGATGGCTATTATTTGGAGGTATGCGTTAAGTTTATTTTAAAGTTTTAAAAGTGTAATAATACTAATAAATGATGTCAGTAAGATTTTTCTAATGTTTTTCCATTGGAAAAAAAAAAAAATATTGTCATTTTTTGATAGTTCTTGCAAAACTGTAATGTGTTAAAGTTCCTTCCATTACAAAAAAAAAAGAAATCTCAAAACAATGAGAAAACCCCGATAACACGATTTTAAAGAGTTAAATTTCACTAATGTAATAAGGTGCTACGTGTTTTTTTTCTTTTTTCTTTTAAAATCAGTCATTGTGTTCGATGGAAAATTGCTAGATTAATTATTTCAAATATCAAATGCTTCTTTTTTCAGACTCGACAACTACGCCGCAATTGGCACAATTTCCGCAGTCAATCAAATCTAAGCAGTCAATCGGATCAAAGTCTCGACTGCGATTCACCCCATTCCCTACCATCACTTAATCATATGTTTACCACAGTCTAAAGTTTTCAAATTTATCCATCATATATTTCTTTCTTTTCTACGGAACAAAAATACTACAAGGAAATAATTATTACAACAATTATGATCAATTGCGCTTACCACTCCTACCATATTTTCCATTCAATTTCTGCTTATCAAACTGTTATTTTAACTGAAAAACTTGTTACACAGAAGTTTCTATCATACAATAATAAAATAATATTTAGGATTATCATGAAATAAAACTTTCAACTTCATTTTTTAACTAAACTTTCTACTTTTAACTTATTTTTTACATCATTTAACTTTCACTTCCTTGATTTTCATTTATTACCCTTGAGATTTACAATGTTGTACGGTTGAATTCTGACAAAAAAAA